GCTCTGTGCCGTGCCCCTGCCACTGGAGCAGTGGTACCTAGAGATGGCACTTCCAGTCTGTCCCCGGTGTGTGGGGCTTGCAGGGGGGTCTCTATGGGCCGTAGTCTGTGGGGCGGATGGGGCAGCTCCTGCCTGGCCATCGTGTGCCTGAGACCCTGTGTTCACACGCGCGAGACCAGCGTCTGCTCCTGCGCCCGGCCGCGCCGAGCCCCCGGGCAGGGAGCTGCCCCAGACGGGTGGCAGTGCCCAGGCGGGTGCAGAGAATGGGCCGTGCAGCCGGCAGACCGGGCACCCTGCTTCGCTGTCAGGGTAGGCGCCAAGTGGCAGCTGGAAACTGCAGACGCGTGGGGTCAGGTGGGACCGTGGGCCACGTCCGTGCAGGAGTCGCGGGGGCAGAGCTGAGGTCTGTGCAGTGAGCCTGGGGCAGGGCCTGGGGTCCACCGCTTTCACCCCCAGCTTGCTGGAGAGCCGGCTCCGGGGCAGCTTGGGGGTCGGACTGTCCTAGGCAGAGCCTGGCCCAGAAGCTGCATGCTGGTGTCTCCCCGCTGCGACGGCCTGGCCGGTCCCGGGCTGGGGCTGCCCCTCGCCCCGGGGGGTGCAGATTGGTGAGGAGCCGGCCAGAGGGTGAGCAGGAGGTGGAGCTGGGGGCTGCGTGCGGGGCACGGGGGGCCTGGGGGCACAGGGAGGACCCCAAAGGCCCTGCCCTAGGGATCAGGGCAGGCGGGGCCGTGGGCAGGATGCCCGTGGTGCAGGGGCCACGGAGAGCCATCAGCACCTGCTGCAGTCAGCGCCTCTTCGCTGCACCCGGCGAGGGAGGGACAGCGGGACGTCCCGTCCGAGCTCCTGGCAGCAAACCAGGCGCTGGCGACTGCTCCCCTCCAGAGTGCCCAGGGCCACGGGGCAGCCACAGTGCTCGGCCCCACTGGACGGCGCCACGTGGCGGGCTGGCCTGGCTCTGTGGCCGTGGCATTGCCCCGGGGAAGGGGCCCCCACCTCCCCGCCTGCGTTGCTGGGGGGCGGGGAGCAGGGGGCTGCGGCAGCGCCTGATCAGAGGCTGCCGCGTGGCGACGGCGACGCAGCTTTGAAGAAGGATGACGGGCGTCTCGGCTCCGCTGACAGCGACTCCCTTTGAGGAGCAGATTGGGGGCGCAGCGCTCTGATCGCAGCCCCACCCCCAACCCCCCCCCCGGCACTTCAAAGGCCCCACGGCAGCCGCGTCACCACCACGGGCGCCCACGCCAGCTGCACGGAGCCCGGGCCTGGCGGCGCTGGCCCTGCTCCCCGGCCTGGGTCCGACGCAGGCGTTGGGGCAGGAGGCGCTGGGTGAGACAGGCACGGACAGCTCGCTCCGCGTCCGGGCACCGGCTGCAGGATAGGCCCCGTCGGGGAGTCCCGGGCACGTGGCGGCAGGGAGCCGGCATCCAGGGGCTGAGCTGGGCCCAGGGCTCTGGGCTCTCCCAGAGACAGCGCCAGGCGTGGGCAGGGGCCAGGAGCTGCCCCGGGGTCTCTGCCGCTCGCCGGGCGCTGCCAGGCCTCACCCCGGGGCCGCCCAAGGCCCCGCCCGGC